TTAATTTTTAGAGCTTAATCTGTTCCATTGGATGTATATACTACATTTCCTCTATCCATTCATCCATCAATGGACATGTGGCAGGATTTCCTTNGAAATCCCATGGACGGAGGAGTCTGGCGGGCTACAGTCCATGGCCTCTTACCGACTCAACAACAAGCTATTCAGCCATTTTGGATCACAGCCGATACATGCTTAACAAGCACCCTCACTGCTTGTCAACTCCAATTACAGTTCTTTATAAACAACTCATGTAAGTAACTGGCCTTGCGGTTTTTGCCTCCATAAAGTTCCTCCACTTTGTAGTCCAGAGGAGCACGATTCAAGGACTTCCTGAACCTGCGTCTGGCATGGCTGCAGTCCTGAAAAACCTCAAATAAACGCCTCTTAATTTTCAATCAGGTCTCCGTTTCTGAAATTTTGATTAACACTGCTGATGTAACATTCATTAAAGACATTGATAGAATGACTTTGGTGAGATTACTCGGAAATTGAAAACCAGAGGGCTGCTGCTGCTGAGTCGCTTCAGTTGTGTCCGACTCTGTGCGACCCCATAGACGGCAGCCCACCAGGCTCCCCGGTCCCTGGGATTCTCCAGGCAAGGACACTGGAGTGGGTTGTCATTGCCTTCAATGCATGAAAGTGAAAGGTGAAAGTGAAGTCGCTCAGCCGTGTCCGATTCTTCGGGACCCCGTGGACTGCAGCCCACCAGGCTCCTCCGTCCATGGGATTTTCCAGGCGAGAGTCCTGGAGTGTGGTGCCATCGCCTTCTCCGAACCATAGAGCAGTGTGGCTATATTACTGAGCTTTGAGAATTGATGCTCTATTTTTTATACTTATATTTTCATATATATTCAATACATTACAAATTTTTTTTTGAATTGAAAAAACTTGGATTTTCTCCTCTTTCAGTTCTTTTCCCCTTGTTCTTTCTTCCCTCTTACTGACTTATGTCCAGTCTTTTCTTCCTAGTGGGGAAGATTGCTTTCTTTTAAGCCAGAAGTTGTCCTCTCTTGATGTAAGGCCATTATGCATCACCAGAGAGCTAAAACTTATTGGTATGTTGGATATGAATGAATGAATTGTATTCACTGTGATGTATTTTTCTGACCTCATTGAAATGTGTTACAAACTGCTTAATGTTTGTTCTAGAATGTACTTATGCATGAATCTTGAGTCACTGCCAAAGGACAAACGAGAGGTTAATAAGTGGAACAACTAATTAATAGTCCACTTAGATGCATAAGGAATGATACATTGATAACAAAATCCAGTTGGGAATAATCATAATGCCCTTTAGAATTATGAAAAAGAATATTAACAACCCTAGCTGTTAGAAAATCTGTATACATTTTTGCCAACAGTTCTGAAAACTTTGTGTTTGTAAGTGATAGTTTATAAAATTTCCACATAAAGGACTTCAGACTCTGGGAGAAATCTATTTATTAATATCTATACTTGTGAGATAGATATACTTTTTCTCTTTGATAGGACATGACATGTTATATTTGAAAACTGTAGGAAATAGCATGCCTGTTTTGGAGTAGTGTATTTGAGAAGCAATGAATGATCAGAAGTTTTATGCCAGAAAATTTTACCAGAACCGGCCTTCCACTACTCCCCCCAAGCACGCTTAGTTGCTCAGCTGTATCTGACTCTTTGCAGCTCCATGGACTGTAGTTCACCAGGCTCCTCTGTCCATGGAATTTTCCAGGCAAGAGTACAGGACCAGGTTGCCATTTCCTACTTCATGGGATCTTCCCAAACCCAGGGGGTTGAACCCTCATCTCTTACAACTCCTGAATTAGCAGGAGGGGAGTCAGGAAGATCCCCTGGAGAAGGGAATGTCTACCTACTCCAGTATTCTTGCCTGAAGAATTCCATGGACGGAGGAGCTGGTGGGCTACATTCCGTGGGGTCACAAAGAGTCAGACACAACTGAGTGACTGATGCTTTCACACTTTACCACTAGGGCCATCTTGGAAGTCTCACTCTCTGCTAGGTAAGCCAATAAATCGAGATGACTTGTTAGGGCAAGGAATAGTGACTGATTTTATTTGGAAAGCCTGCTGACCGGGAAGATGGTGGGCTAGTGTTCCAAAGAACCAGCTTGCCAGGGTCTGGGCACTAGTTTCTTTCTCTTTTATAGAATAAGGAGGGAGAGGTGAGGAGAAAAAGGGAAAAAGGCCATACATCGTTGGAAATGTTTCCTGGTTCCAGCCAGACTCTGGAGAGGATGTGTTCATTTCTTCTTTCCTGCAAACACTCTCAGGTGAGCCTGGTCAGGATGTTTTCTGTGAGCTAAACAAATGCACTGTAACTTAAGCTCTGCCGTGGCAGGCCGGCTTCCCAGAGATGGACTATCCTGTATACTTTAAGCTTATAGGCAACATGCCTTTAGTGATTAATTTGAAGCACAAGTAATAAGAATACAAAGGTTGGAATAAACGAAACAGATTCGTTCCTCCCTACTATAAAAACAGACAGCTTAGAACTCTAACTTCTTGATTCACTGGTTATCTTATAAACTTTTCACAAGGCTTATGGAACCTTGAAAGACAGTTCTGTTTTCTTTCCAAACAGTGAGTGAAAGTCGCTTAGATGTCCAACTCTTTGCAACCCCATGGACTATACAGTCCATGGAATTCTCCAAGCCAGAACACTAGAGTGGGTAGCCTTCTCCAGGGGATCTTCCCAACCCAGGGATCGAACCCAGGTCTCCTGCATTACAGGAGGGTTCTTTACCAGCTAAGCCATAAGGGAAGCCCTTCTAAACAGAAGCCACCCTTATTGGTAAGCTGACAATTCAGTGGTCAACTGGTGTGATAGTCTGCAAGCCTCAGCCCTCTTTCCACATTGGACAGTATCTTTAGTGCATCCCCTTAGAATGTGCTTCCTCAATACCTGTTTGTGGAAAGAGCTGCTTAAGCTTCAGATTGCTTTATTGGCCCGTGGTCATCTTTTCTGCGCAGTGGGACTGGGCCTGAGGAAACTTACTTCCTATACTGTTGGCTATACTAGGAGATCTTTAACTAGTTACTTGTCATTAATTAATCTGAATATTCACATTAAAGAAGGCTCATAGATGATCCATTTTACTTGGAAAACCTTGGTCTTCTAACTCTGAAAGTCTAATGCAAACTGATTTCTGTGCTGATAAATAGAAGAGAATAAAACTTATAAAAACTCATGACCTTTACAGACATGAATGTATCTCATTTAAATCAAGCTAGAGATCAAGCTTGGAGATGCTTTCCAGCCTCTGTGATAACTTGGAAACCTTCAAGAGCCACCCTTTAAAAAGTCACTAATATTAATTGACTAATGAAGTCAATAAATTGGAAAGTAATGAAGTCACTAATAATGAAGTCAATAAATTTGGAAGTTTTGTTATGTAATGAAAGCAAAATGATATAATCTGTTAGCTCCATCACCATGTATTTAATCACTGCTCTTCAAGGGAGGGGGGTACCCAACTCATTTGACGATTTGCTGGAAGGACTAACACGCTTCCACGTAAGGTTATAATGATGGCTAAGATTTGTTATATCCAAAAAAATTATTGTAGGAAGAACAGGAAATAGAGAGACATAAGCAAAGGAGTCACACAAATGTTTCCAAGTTCTCCCTCTTTCTCTGATAGTGTAGCATAGGATGCAGATTTCTCCTGTGAGATGTTTCTACCCAAAGAGGCCCACCTGAGTCTTGGGGGCTAGAATTCTTAAACACGCAGACTTGAACAAGGAGCAAATATATTGTGACTCTTCTTGTTTTCTTTAAATATGACAACAGCTGATTCTTCTTGACCCATCACGTTACACAGTTCCTAGGAGATCTTTACTGTTGAGTGCTGTGTTTGACCAAGGGTCATCGCCACTGCTACAGAGATAAACAAGAGCTAAGGAAAGCAGCCTTCTGTGCTATTTCTCCCACCTGCCTAAAGCTAGACTTCCAGCCAAAAAGTTATGAAGGGAAAAGAGGTGATGTGGTAGAAGATTTTTGTGTCAAAGGAAGTTTTCAGTAAGTGAGGTAGTGTGGTGTAGCAGTGAGCAGCGTTTGGTTTAGAGTCAGTAAAAACTTTCTTTGTCTCCTAACCCCAGCATGTAATTGTTGTATGATGATCTCGGGTGATGAATTTAAGTCTTACACATTCTCAGTTTTCTGCATAATACACAGATCACACAAAATTTGGGGAATTAAAATAAATCAGCATGTAGATTTAGTTGCCACTTAGTCAGTTATCCAAAACTAGAATGAATTCAGAATACTAAATCTTCAAACCATTCAAGATTATTATGGATTTCACTGGAAAAAGAAGACAGTTTAATTAACTTCTTTTTTTATTCAGATTTAGTGCTTTTTCACTCTGATTACAGTATTTGTGCTGAAACTCTTGTCCCTTTGCAAGCTGGATAGGCTGAGATGGTTGATGTCAGAGAAAGTGAGTCTTCATCCTGCGCTTGTCTGCCCTCTGCCCACACACTGTGTGTGTTGACCAAGATGACCTTAGGATCTCCTTGGCAGTCTCTTCAGAAAACAGGACACGCTTGACTCATCAGCGTCTGGCCTTGAATATCAAGTGTGTTTTCAGTGAGCACAAGGTGTCTTTTTAGTTCTGCCGTGCAGCGGTGCGGGAGACCATGTGCTTTGGCTTCTAGAGGTCAAGGCTGGCTCTCTGACAAGCCTTAACCTTCCTCTCGTGTTCTTCACTAAATCATTAGAGTGTTGAAAGCTGACCCTTTAACTTTCTGTTATTGCTGTTGCCCTTAGTCATTACTATGCTCCCAACAAATATCAAAAACTTTTTTTACATAGAGTCTATCAGGCTACTGAGGCAGTTATTTTTCTTAGGTATAAAGCAAAATCTAGAAGGCAACATTTAACTTGGAAAAGCTGTTTAATTTCTGAGAGAAGAACATTGTAGTCATTATGCATTTTTTCCATATAAGACAGTTATCTCTAAATATACATTTTATTTTTTTAATTGTAGGGCCCTGGGTAAAGTATATGTTTACTCATTGAAAATTTTTCAAGATTGACTTTTTTGTTGTTATGGATAGAGGCTTTCTTAAAAACATCACTATTCAAATCCAAAGGCAACATTGTACAATTAAAGAGAAAGCAGAAAGTGAGGTGAATGACATTGTTAATCAATTTTTTTCCAAATAAATAGATTTAGAGCAAATAATGTGAATTAATATTCAGTCTTCATCAGAAGTAGTTAATTGGGGATACATTCTTTTTCTTAGGTGGAGGAGTGTAAATTTTCTCTTTCATTCTGATTATAAAATTAACTGCTTTCCCATAAGTTAAATAGAATATATTTTCTAGATAATTTTTTTAAATGTGGCTTATTCCATTCATTATGAATTCCAGATTCAGTTTTTCAGAACTCTGTCTTACAACCCTTTGCAGCACTTGAGGATGTTGGTGATAAAAGGCATGAACTCTGGCCATTTTGCAATGGTATACTATCTGGGGAAAAAAAAATTTAATGCATATTTTATTTTATTTTACCTGATTGACTCAAGAAAAATGTAAGAGAAAAAGTTTATAAATAGATTTCTAATGCATCATTATTGAAAATAAATAAATTTTATCTTATATGTTTTTCCAGAACTTAATATAAATTCTATAAAACAGGAGAAAAAAGTTTATAAAGAGTTTTTAATGTTTGGGATATTGTTGTTCTTTAAAATCATAATAGTCTCTAAATATTAGTAATAACTGTTCAATATAGAAAAATCAGAAAATATATAAAAAATAGGAAAAACATAGAAGTGATTTACCACCTGCAGATAATTACCCTTAACAGTATAATGTAATACATAAATATGTTTCATGCCTTTAAAACATAAATTGTCAAAGTTCTTTTATGAGTATTTCTAGAAATTTTCATTGTCACTCATTGAAAACTATGCAAAATGTTTATTTTTGCTGGAAATTATCATTATTTTGGCCTTTATAAATTTAAGAAATGCACATGGTATCCATTAAGATACTTTTAAAAACATGTTTGTTCCTGATTACTTTTGACCTCATGAGTGTTGCATCCTAAACAATGTGTTTAACTTTCATTGCTCTAGAATAAAATCATAAAGTATTGGCCTAAATTCTGCAATTTTTTGATAAGGAAGTCTTGCTAATTCTTTTCTTTACATGTTGTTTAGGTTTAATACGTCTTAGTTATTCTGAGAGTACTCCTAATGATCTGTAAAGAATTGCCCAGGGAAACATAAAAGTGCTTATTTTTAGAAATAGGCAACAGTAGTGAGTAATGTGAATAAATGTCAGCAATGTATCACTCTTGTATGAGGATATAAATCACAACTATCTAATAATGGAAAGTCTTCTAATGAGGGATTAGGAGGTTAACTTTCTTTGCTTCATTAGGTTTAGTTAAAATGGAAACAGCTTAAATATTTGGTACATTTACATCTATAACTATATTAAAAGGAATTTGCATGCTATATAATTCTTCCTCTTTTTAACTCTGAAAAGAGTTTGAATTATTTAAATGTTAAGCAGTAAAACCATTTTTGCTTTGTTTTTTATTGAAAGTGAAAGTCACTCAGTCATGTCTGACTCTTTGTGACCCCATGGATTATACAGTCCATGGAATTCTCCAGGTCAGAATACTGTAATGGATAGCCTTTCCCTTCTCCAGGGGATCTTCCCAACTCAGGGATCAAACCCAGGTCTCCTGCACTGCAGGCAGATTCTTTACCAGCTGAGCTATCAGGGAAGACTGGTTTTTATTAGCTAGAACTATTTAAATAGATAAACCCAGTCATCATATTTTGGTGATTTCTGAAAGAATACAAAGCAGAATGGGAAAGGTGTCTAAAGATGGACAGAGACAACTAGCCCCTGCCCTCAAGAAAAATGATTAAGCAAATACTGCAGAGATAAAGATGACAGGAAAAGAGGGCTATTATTTGTTTCAAATTACCAGGAAGAGACATTCAACTGTATTTTTAACAATTTCTAGACATTAATAGGATTTCCCAGGTGGCTAGATGGTAAAGAATCCATCTACCAAGCAGGAGATGCAGGTTTGATCCCTGGATTGGAAAGGATCTTTGGAAATCATGGAAAAGGAAATGCCAACCCACTGGAAAACCCCATGGACAGAGGAGACTAGTGGGCAACAGTCCATGGCATCACAAAGATCTGGGACACAACTAAACGACTAAACTGCAGCAGCTGATATTAATGAAGAATAAGGAAGATGTGGTGTGTGTGTGTGTGTGTGTGTGTGTATGCGTGTGTTTCCTCCCTGCAAGGACTTTACATTTACATGGTAACATAGAAGGAGGAATCAAGTGAAATTCACACCAGAAAGGGGTCATTTATTCAAGCTCTACATCCTGGGAGAGAGAGAGAGTGTGTGTGTGTATGTGTGTGTGTACGTGCATGCGTATGCTTGCACTTACATGCACATGCTTCTTGATAAACAGAAATGATTAGAATTCATGAAAACTGGTTTGTTACTTGCTGAAAGATCTGAACGCACCTCTCTTTATACTAAGTTGTGGTATCGGTCAGCCTAAAACAGCGTTCAGCTCTATAGTTTAGAGCAGTTATCATACCATACTAGCCGTGGTGTTAGTTTCTGTTGCTGCTAAGACAAATTACCACAAAGTTAGTGGCTTACAAGAACACAGACTTGTTTATCTATAGTTGTGTCCCTTGGGAGTCCAACACAAATCATTTGAGATAAAAATCAAGGTATTGGCAGGGTTGGATTCCTTTCTGGAGCCTCTAAGGGAAAATCTGTTTCCTGGCCTTTACCAGGCTGCTCACAATCCTTGACTCATGGTCTCTTTTCTGTCTTCAAAGGCAGCAATGGGCAGTTCATTCTTGTTCACATTGTTCACATTCTTGTTCACCACATTGACTCTTATTCTGAATTTTCCCCTCATTTTTTAGACTCTTTTAACTATATTGGGCACAAGCAAATAATATAGAATAATTTCCCTATCTTAGGATCAATTGATTGCTAAACTTAATTTCATCTGCCACCTTATTTTCCCATTGTCATGTAACTAAATATGTGATATGGAGTAATATAAGAAATGAACTTTTCTGGCTTCTAGCTCTAATAATGATACCAGTGCTATCTGGTAGGAAATAAGACCATTTGCCTGTATACCTCTGACCTTGAAATAAAACACTGTATGATATTTATGCTTTTTCATATAATATCCCTATCTATGAGGGAGAGAAAGAGAGGGAAAGGATGAATATGAAGGGAAGAACCATGACATGTTACAGATACATTTGAAAATCAACCTATGCTCACTATCCATACAAAGTATTAGGAAATTCTGACTTTTAAATATATATTGACCAATTCTTAGAAAGTTCATATTTATTTATATTTATATGCTTGTTTTTCTTATACTTATTGCTAATTTGATAATTATCAGGTGGGAAGCTGCTATAACTACTTAATAATGATACCTAAGAGATTATAAACTTTCAAGGCCATATAATTCTCAAAGCCAGGCTATTATTGAATGCACTCATCCTACTCTGAAAATATGTTATTTAAATAGAAAGGGGGAGAAAAGTATGGCATATTGATGAGACCAAAAGAGAAATTACCCCAAGCTTTATTTACTTTAAATTTTTTGGATTTACAATTGAATCATACAAGGCCAGCAGCAACATTGCATTTTCAGAACACCATTCTTAGCAAGAATTATACTTCTGGTCAAATGATTGCAGATAATACTCCGGTATGGTGGAAAACTGTGATGGACAATTGGTGTAAGGGCCTTAGACTGCAAAAAGGAAGAGGTTATGCTCTTGTCATTTCAGATGATGGCATCCGAAGGCATGTCAAAGAAAGGAAGGCAGAGGACATGGTTCGACACATCCTCCCGGAGAGCCACCAGTGATGGTGATAACAAGGCTGACAATGAGCAACCATCCTGAACAGGATGGGGATAACAAGGCTGACAATCGGCAACCGTCCTTAACAGGATGGGGATAACAAGGCTGACAATCGGCAACCGTCCTGAACAGGCTCCAAGGACCGACAAAGCCAAACCACCCACTTGGGGTCAATTGAAGAAATTGACCACTGAAGGGGAATAACTGGTCAAAGAACAGGGACAGCCTTTGACCTCAGCTACCTTGTTCTTGGCTATGTTATCTGTGGTAACTACCATGGTAAGTGCCAATCATACTTACTGGGCATATGTGCCCAATCCTCTCCTACTAAGACCAGTTACGTGGGAGGAGTCTTCTGTTCCACTTTTCATAAATGACCCTTCTTGGTTACCCAGACCTCTTGACCCGAACCTTCCTTTACAACCAGAAGAAGAGGGCTGACAACTTTCAAATATTAGTGATAATTATGCTGTGGGAACAGATCCTACCCCTATATGTATGGGAGCGGAAACTCATTGTCTTAAGAGAGGATTACAAAGCTGGTTATCTAAAGTTTAAGAACCTCAAGTGAGTGAACAAAACTCATTTTTTCTTATTAGAATTATTTTCCTTTAATATCACAGGAGAAGATATGACTATATTTCCTCCCCATCTACCTAACTGCATTGTTTCTATAAAATCTGGAGTAGAACATTGTGTATAATGTAAATTATTTAAAGCTAATACTGGGATTCCCTGGTGGCTCAGAGGGTAAAGTGTCTGCCTGCAACGCAGGAGACCTGGGCTTGATCCCTGGGTAGGGAAGATCCCCTAGAAGGAAATGGTAACCCACTCTCCAGTATTCTAAGTCCCATGGATGGAGGAGTCTGGTAGGCTACAGTCGATGGAATCGCAAAGAGCTGGACACAACTGAGTGACTTCACTTTCTCTTCACTTTCAAGAGATTATAAAATTTAATGAGCTTTGTATGTTCCATGGAAAAATAGGAAATGAAGTAAGAGTGATTTTATAGTGAAAAGAACCACAAAGATGAAAAATAATCTAACTAACTTTGTAAAAGCTAGCATGAATGCATGCTATTTTGATTTCTTGAAAGTCCTTGAGGAAATCTCTTTAAGGTACAAACTACTTTGTCCTAGATTCAGAATAATAAAAAGCCTCTCGTCCAGAATACAATTAATTGCATTCTGCTTATAAATTCTATTGTTGTAAGCATCCTGTTTCTTCCCGCTAATGAAAATAAAATTAACATTTTTCAGGTAAACAGTATTTCCCTTACAAGTAGCCAAATGATCTTGTCACAGATGTTTTTCTTCCATCAAGTATTTCACTTAAAAGTTCCCAATCTTTCTTCAAACCCTTACAGTTTAATTTTGGTCTTCAGTTCTAACACTTTGTATTGGCAGGAAATAACACTGTGCCAAATGTTTCTAATTGACATCTGCAGAGTATCCTGTAATTCTTCCCTCGTCTGTCAGGTAGTTCAACTTCTGTAGTCCTATTTTTAAATTAATGAATCAAGGGAGTGTTGTTTTTCTTTTGTGGAGCTGAAAAACAAGCTTCATCATGGATGT